GCCTTGCATTTCTAGCCCACTGCCACTCGGCCATTACTGCTTCTTAAAGCCTTTGGGAAAGCTGCTTACAAACTCGGGGTGTGACTTTTGAAATCCCATACAAAACTTTGCACGCTTATAACTTTCGACGGAGTGCTTTCTTTAGCAGAAACCGATAAAGCAGATTCGGATGCAGCGTGAAATTCTGCGTCTATGGTAATGCTCTATGGTCTCATGTCATTTGGCCGGCACACCCAGTTGACCTTCCCTTGTCAGACATGTCATGACACTTAGACAGAATGAAATTTGATCGACTAGACCTAATAAAGCTATTCATAACACTGGCAATTGGCCCGATAAAAGCAATGGAGATTGAGACATTACAAGATCGATATCCATTTGGCGATCGATATGCTCATTATATCAATTTGACAATATTTGGAAAGAATTTTGTTTCAAGTTTAACCAGTACTTTATTTTAAAACTTGATAAAGGTTGTTTTTTTGTTTGTTTATTTGATAAACATTGTCAGTTTTTCGCGATCAAGTCAAACAATGAGTCACAAATGAAAAGAAATTTTAGATTTTGTCTGTGTCTGTAAATCATGATATGACATGATATCATCATCAAAATCATTTTATACATGTTACCAGCGCTCACTTCGTCCACATTTTCCGTTGGCGACTCCCTTTCTTTCTTCAAATGACTAAAACTAATGTAACCCATGTTAAGCCCCGCCCCCTTTTTAAAAATGGACCTAAAAGTCAGATTCCCAAGAGGTGAAAACCCCCAGGGGCAAAATGTCGGGCGCAAAAGCTGAATCCTTTGCCTTTTAACCGATAGAGCAAACGTAATTACGGAGCGTCGCGTTTGCGCACAGACGGACAGACCGACAGACGTCTCTTCTGCTTTATATATTGTAGATATATCGTAGATAACTTTTTCGTTGTAATATTGCATATTTCTTCTGGATACACAAATAAAAATGAAGTCAAAGCTTAAAGGAAAATGAGATCATCATCAGTAAACTGAACATAGTTTTTCCGTTCTTCACAAGAACCCCATCGACAATAAGGTTTGAACTGAAATTGGGTAATTGGCGAGATGTTTTCCTATATGCTAGCTTTATGTCTAATGCTATGACTTGTAAACTGTAGATTATTTTACTGTACATTTAGGTACTCATCGTCAGCTTCTCCATTAAGAGGCTCACCTCAGTATCTGGTCCACAAATCGAATATTGGGGACAATAGGCACAACATTGAAATCCCTAGAAACAAAATGATAAATTTAAAATCTAATTTTTTCTTTTTTTTGCACAGTAGTCTTCATTTTATATCTAGAAAGGCAGAAACTTTTCTGACAAAACCAACCGGCGAACATTGACTCGTTGTGGCACAGTACTCGCCTGGCTAAAATCATAATTTATTCATCAAATGACTGAGAATTCTTCAGAATTTGCTGATTTCAATGCAAATGTGTCTCAAAACTATAAAATTCTCATAAAATTTACCTTCTTTTCCCCACATGGTACCCCCTCTAGCAAAAGTTTCTGTGAAAATAACAGAAATAAGCAAAATTGCAAAGCTTATCGTGGAAGAGAGATTCATTGAGACTGAAATTCGATGCAATAAACCAATATTGAGATTCTTACTTGATTTTATAGCTTGTTCAATCATTGAAATATTTGCCATCAATCATACTCGAGAAATCAAGAAAAAGTCTCGAGCTTATCACCGGAAACTGGGAGATTTGTCGCAAAGTCGGGGGTTTTTACAAACTTCTCATTTTTGCAATGAGTTTTTGGAGCTCGCAAAAGTGTGACAAATTGCACCGGATACATTCGAAAAGCTCTTTTCAGTGTTTTTTAAACAATGTCTGGTGAATTCCCGCATTTCCTAAGCTCCGTTCTATACTTGAGTTGATAATGACTTGTTCAAAATTTCGGCATTGGTTTACTCATTAAGTTGCTAGCCATTTCTAAGCCATAAATTCTTAATCAACTCTAGATCTTTGCGAAATCAAACTTTCGATTTGCATTGCTCGATGCTCAACAATGTGTCAGCCATCTGGTTATTCTGAATCAAAGCGAATGAATCAATCCGAAAAAACGGAGAAGCGATAATGGAAATGATGGGAAAAAACAAGCGCCAAGTGATTAATTTTTCAATTTGAGTCAACCGCAGTTTGTATAATGTTTATCTGCTCAAAATTTAATTAAGATTAAACCATGCCCTTAGCCAAGTATTTCACCAGTCGAAACCAAGCGTTTGTCGACCATTTTCATGTCTTACAACAGAATTCTTCCCAATTTCCATCACCCACTCATCGTGAGTTCTTTCAATTTTGTGCAAATTCTAATAGATATAAAACAAACACATAATGGAGCACTTTTGAGCTGCCTGGTCATCTTTTAAATCAAATGTTGATTGATAACTCCCGAACAATCAAGATCTCTTAGTCTCGATTCTTGGAAAAGAATCCATTGATTCTGTTTAAAGAAAATTTCCGTTGATTTCTATTCTACAAAAATTAAACAAGTGAAGAACTTAGCTGAGCAAAGAATGCATTGAGCTTTGCTTTCAAAAATAATGCTTTTAACTTTCAATTGGAAGAAAGCCCTTCTGCACAATGTGGCTGGAGCTGTTTTGACAATCGTGATCTCATCTTGGCGCATTAAAGTCACTGATTTTTAAAAACAAGTCTAGAAGGTAAAAATATGATAAAGAGTAGTTAAATGTGTAAAAGAATAGCATTTTCACGTGGATTCCAGTTAATGGCTGTAAAAAGTGCGCTGAAAGAGATGAAAGAAACAGAGATAGCTCAAATCTCGAACCTCTCAAAAACAACGACCACTATTGCGCCAGAAATCAGGTAGTTTTGAATCAAAATTTAAATTTGAACTTAATTCAATCTTTTCGAGTTATGAAAAATCAAATTAGCTTTAAAGTTAAATAGTTAAATAACGATTCTCAGCATAGAATTCCATTTCTTCTGCCAACACGGTTGAACAAGATTTGAGGGACATTGCTACAAGGTAGATCCTATCTGTGTTCTGAATTATTATAGGCAAGTGGTAAACTCAATCATCCATACTAATAAAATACTAATTGTCGTTGTCGGATGAGCCGTTTCAAAGTGTCAAAGCTACAGAAATTAGAATCAGTAAGTGACCTTTCTTGATGACCAAACGGGTTGAACCCTTTTATTAATTAAGCGGTTGTGTCACCGCAAAAAACTGAATCAATTCATTTCTTGGCGTCTCCGAAAATCCAATTAGGAACTTTTGATTCGCATTCTCACTTGCTAAATGATATAAACAAGAAAGTGCCAAGTGATTCAACCTTTGCTTGCTACCAGATTCAACTTATTATTCATACTATGGGATCTGGATTCAGATCCGGTACTTGTTCATCTAGATCACAGCCTCGTCTGCTCCTAATCATTCTCTAATACCAGGTAATTATCTATTTAAAATTCTCAAAAAATGTCACATATTTCGACATTTTGTTCATCTGCCTGTATTTTGTGACAAGAAAAAATTCCGACCCTTGCACTGTCATGGAACTTTACCAATGGAAGCTTATCAGTTTTTTGCAGTGATCAGGTACAAATCAGAGCTGATTTTCTCACTGTGAGATCACTTTCAATTAGTCATATTTACACAAAATACAGCCTGCTTGAACGGACCTTGTAATCAGTATTGTTTTGAATGTTTGTTTTTTTGTCGTTATCATCTAGAAGTAAGATTTTCAAGTTTATTTGCGAAGAGTTTAATGTGAAGTCGTTCAACAATTGCCGATCGCTAAATGAAAAATTTTGATAGAGAAATGGAAAACAAATCAGTCTAATTATCAACCATCATTTCAACTTACTTGGGAGATCAATTCCCGGAGTATAAGCATAAGCGGTGACGTCAGCAAATCCATAAACAATAGCCGCATATTTTCCGGTTGGATCGGTCGTTTGAATGGATTGAGTGCCGGGTGTAACTGGATAGTCAACCATGTAATAAGTTGAAGTTCCTTGTCTAAATTTTTAGAGTTCAAATGCTTAAAATTTTGTGCAAACTTTTGGAATAATTGTGCAGAGACGGGAACACCATCGATTAGAAATTTGCTCTTATTCTCGGCGGCCGTCATGGACGTTTCGAGTCGAGTAAAATGGTGTTGAGTGGTTTTGCCGGTTAGTCCTGTTGTCACCTGAATGGTGAACAACGTTCAAGGATTAGGATCAGTGTTTAGTAAGTAATTGCCTGCTGAGTGCTGAAATATCACACTTTATTGGAATATCAGCCATACGTTACTACAACTAGACATGGGCTTGGTTTCGGAGCAGGAATTGGCACTGAACATGCCTGCTAGTACTAGTTCTGTAACTTTGGCTATCAAACCTAAAGTCAAGCATAAAGTCCTACCATAAGGCAATGCACGTCGGCGCGAAACAATGTAAACTTTCGGTTTCTATCGGACTTTGATGTGCTATGCTCTATTTAACGTGATATTTATCCATGCTTTAACGTACAAAAAGTTGTTAAACGGCATTTTTGGGTGTAAAGTTTAAACTGTTATAACTTGTTACAGGTATACCCACTTTGTGTACTGTTTATTGTCACATTTATTACAGCTACGATTACATCATCTTCGGTATTTATTGTAGTGTTTTCCATCACTTGTACTTGTCGAGTCATTTTAGGTAGCTCATTAAGAAAATCTAATTCGCGCTGCCTTTTTTGCTGGTCATGTAATGTGGATCACTAATTCTGGCATATCGTTGACTATATGACTCGAAGTGGTAATATTGGAACGTTCGACGGATGTGGATGAAGAGAATGTTAAGAGAAGAGAGGAGCTTTGTAAAAAAAATGGTTGAACAACAAAATACGAGTGCTCTTTTTATAGTTGAGATGAAAATCCATCTCAATAAACATGCTTGCTCTAATAGACAATTTATTCGCAAAATACATCAAAAATAATTAATAATCAAAAGTTTTCGATATAATCCTGTATTCGTATTTCCTAGGCATCACGGATCTCGTTGAGAGTTTGAATCAATTGCTAAACCAATTAAATTAAATTCTTTTAAAACCCTATTAACTCACGTTAACTCCAGTGTCGAATTTGCGTAAACAAGGTAAGTAATCCTCAGCATATGATTCGAACGTGGACTTTATTTTTCTAAACAAAAAGTGTGTTGTTTTAAAGTGCCAAAAGATACGTAAATGACTCGTGTTTCTCCCGTAAATCGGCAAAAGTTGATGCGTCCTTGAGAATTTCTTCTTTCGAAAGGAATTTCTAAAGAAGATACTTCAAATAGTTTTATTTGATAAAAATACCGTTTCAAAGACGTTGATGCCCTCGAGAAGTCCCTTGTGCAATTCAGGAAACAAATCCTTGCAAGCGTTGATGACATTTTTTGATTCTTGTTGAAGTTCCATCGACATTTGATTAGCCTGAAATAAATTGAACTAATGCAAGCTTTTTAATTTCAAAATAACAAAAAGATGCAAAATACCTTTTTCTCCAGTAACGGAATGGCTTTATGTGGATGATGCTTCTTGTAAGCACAAGCACCACAAATCTAAAAAGTAAAAATGACTCCAAAACTGCATTCGCTCACTTCAAAACTGCATTCGCCACAGTAGAACATCTTGTCGACAATATTCTGAAATGTCTCCATGAGAATCAATTTAAGTAGGCATACCTTTTCGTGACATTCATTGCAGCTATGATTATATTCGGCATCCGTTAAAGCATTTGTTACAACAGTCATGAAAGCTTTCTCCACTGTTTCTATTTGTCGAGTCATTTCGGGTAGCTCATTCAGAAAATCTAAAAAAGATTAGTGAATGCAAAGAGAATTCATCTACCATGAAATCGATCTTTCCGTTTGTCGTTAGGAGGGTGCATAGTCATGCGACAAGTTGGACAAGTGATGATCTTGTTTTGTGACAAGTAATAAGACGTTTTTGTTCGTGTCTTTAAATAGCAACCCGTGCAAATTATGTGTCCGCAATCAAGAGAAAACGATTTCTTTGCCTCGATTTCGTTCGAAACTAAACCAAGAACTTTTCCAAAGCAAGTCATCAAACGCACATTCTTCCTGACAAACTGGACATTCCGGAATTTCAAAAGGCTAAAAGAATCACTATGATTTGCAAATCCCAAATCCAACCTTCAGAAGGACATATCCCATTGGAGTAAACACTAGAGCGCTTTCTTGTGACAAAACGTCTAAAACAATTCAATTAATTAATCTCGTTTTTAGTTGAAACAAAATTCATAATAAAATTCACCAATCAAAAAGTAGGCAAAATTGCGATTCTTGAAACAATAACTAAGTCCACATTGATGCTTCCTTTCTTCTTCATCCATTTCTTTCTCTTTCTCGAAACATTCATTGCACATCGCCAATCCACACTTCAAAGGTCGTGGAGAACGAGGTTGATTGGCAACTCGAGCAACTAAAATTGAGAAAATTAAACAAGAACAACTTGATTTACTCTTTAAAATCTAGATTATTTCGAAATCCATTACTAAGAAGCAAAAACTTACACGGTTGCTTGCAGACAATGCAGTTGAGCGATTCAAACACCCTCATTTCTAAAAAGAAAGCATTAGAATTATTGAACAATCAACAAAAAAAGAATGAACGCAAGAAAGAAATCGAATTGAAAGTTTGTGTTTTGATGGTTGTAAAATTGAGAGAATATCTTAAACTCTACTTTAACTTTTAACGAAACTTTCAGATGCTTGGCAACAAAAGTTGTGTTTTTCCAAAATAATACAGGGTGTCCGAAAAAAAAGTAAGTTTGCCTCGAATTTCCTCAAAATCTGTAGTGGCTCTTGGTGGTTACGCTGGTGTCAAAAGTGTTTTTTCTGTGAGGAAAAGAAATGACTTTTTTTGAAATTTTTCAATTTCATGACCCCCATACACGAAAATTTTTCACCACCACCATGAGATTTTTGCCATAAAATTAAAACTTTCTACTGGCATCGTGATGTCATATTAGAGGTAATATATAAACTAAGATTTTTAGCCAAACACTTAACTCATCTGCATTATGTAATAATCTGTCGTACATAAAAGATTTTCAACCCGCCTTTTTAAAAGAAGTATCCTGTTTTCCAAGGGAACGCTGATCAATAAAGTGTATGGTTTAAATTTGTAGTTATCCTAACAGTGTTTATTATGCACCGAAATAAATTTCGAAAAAGTCATTTCTTTTCCCCACAGAAAAAACACTTTTGGCACCAGAGTGACCACCAAGAGCCCCCACAGATTTTGAGGAAATTCGAGGCAAACTTACTTTCTTTTTCGGACACCCTGTATAAACACGGGTGTTTTGAAAACTTTTGAAAACAACTGTTCGAAAGTTAACCGCATTCTTTCCTTTTCATGTTTGATTGAACCCATTGAGATCAAAGTTTAAATCAAAGATATGCTGAGAGATAATTTGCTACTTTTCTTGATTGACTGAATATTCGGCGATCTTTTTAATTTCTTACGTCATTTTTGGACAATCGATTTCCTTTACGAACTCCAAATGAGAAGAACGCTCTTCAATTTGAAATCTCCTTACCGTTTTGTGGACTTCATTTGTTCGTTCATAAAGACCGCATTTCCGTATTTTTTTGCTTCTCGAAACAGTTTTTTGAATCAAATTTCTTGACCAACTTGAGAAAATGACATCAAAGTTTTCATGAGTTTTGGTTTAAATAAGGCTTTTCAGCTTCTTGCGGAAAGTTTTGATCTCTGATCGTTTATCTGAAGATCTCATCATTTCTTTAAGAGTTCTTTTTTTTTCTTATCATCCGGAGTTTGAGACGAAAATTTTTGTTTTTGGAAAAATTGTGAACTTTGGTGTCAGAAGGGAAACCATTTTCCGAATTGTTATGACCCAAAGTCCGATATCCAAAAATTTTGCTATCCGGTTTGCCATCAAAACACTACTGCAAGAATTTTCCCAAATTACCCACCCTTGAAAAGGTACGTTACTCACGAGGTACTCACTCTAAAGAAAGCAATCTTTCCCTAGAAATTAACAGAACTTCCGGTCAAGAAATAGGTTTTTTCTGGGCTGATTCTGGTAGGTTTATGACTATGAATCAGAGAACAAGGCTCACTGAATGCTATTTAATCACCAAATCAAGACACTATGGGACAAAAACTGATAAGGCATTGATCTATTTGGTGGTTTTTGCTTAATTATTCTGAATCACTTGAAAATGAAGCTGTTATTTCTTTTTAGTTCGCTTTTCATTGGGATTCAAACTTTCTCGTGTCCAAGTGGAAGTGAACCGATGCCGAAAGAGGATGTGTGCATGTTTTTGATTAATCAAAGTAGGTTCTGAATGATTTGGCAGTTGGCTAAATCTTCCAAACCACCATTAGCTGATAATGCTTGCATAATTTTCAGCTGTCTCCTACATGAACGCGTTTCGTCGTTGCCTTACATTAGGTGGAATCCCGGCAAAAGTTCAGAACTCTTTCGAGAATGCCTACTTGTTCGCAGTGGCGCCAAATGGTTTGCCCATTAGTCACGCTAAATACAGAATTGGATTTACTTCAGAACTTGGAAACAACATTTATCCCTACATTGGCGTGGAAAGAGACGCCGATTACGTTGGAATTACGCGGACGGATCACCGCTTGCTTATGTGAATTGGGCTCCAAGTCGGTTCCGTGGAGTTTTCCGTCTAAATTTCAACCCAAAGTTTGGGTTAAAATAATTTCGGACTTACTGATTTAAAAGATACAGTAGTAAAGAGGAAATGTTAATAAAGCGGGGTAAAACTTGTAAAATATCGAGCTTCAGAAAGCAACCAAGCAAGCGATTGTGGGACATTTGCTACGCGCGTTTGCCATTGGCAATCCAACTTTGAGCTCAAATATCTTGGTTTTGAGCTTTCGAATTGAAATAGTTTTTGTACGAATCGACAGAGAAAGACTTGGCGCATCTAATGCTACCAAGAATCTTTTAATTCGACAGCCCAACATCAAGAAATTTGAGCTTAAACTTAGATTGCCATGGGCAAAAGGGGCTGGGTGCGTATCAAATGTCCGATAAGCAAGCATCACTCGATAAGTTTTCAGATGAGCCAAACAATGCAAGTGCTGCGAATTCGTGTACCGCTTTGAACTTGCAAACTGGAAAATGGATATCAAGTGATTGCACTTTGGCTCGACCTTTCATCTGTTCAATCAATGGAGATGGTATTTGTTTTCAAGAAAATCATAAACAGAAATTCTCTAGATTTTCAATGTCCTAATGGATGGGTCTACTATGATAAGACTGATTCGTGCTATTACCTGCAGGTACGTTGATGAAGAGGCATGGTAAAACATGGCTTTAAAACCATTTTTGTCCCCGTTTTCTTTCTAGAACTTCACCTATGCGGACGGGACTCATTGGCAGACTTACACTTTCACGTCAGCGGAGGCAATCTGCCAAAAAATGGGCTCACATTTGGTCTCCGTTCACAGTGATTACGAGAACAACTTTTTGAGCGGTTTGTCCACATTTACAAAATAACTAACTTTCTTAAATCTTAATATTGCTATTTTGTGTAGTTCATGTTGTACAATTTCAAACTTAATTCTAGACTTAGGACTTGAATACGTAACTGGGAACAGCCTAAATTTGTAGAGTACTTTCGTAGAAATGGAAATGAAAAGCAGTTACACTTTAAGGCACGCTTTGATCTAAAAAATACAACAAAAGATAAACGTTTTCAGATCTTCTCACAACAGATGTTCTCAATGCAACTGTAGCCACACCATGCAACTATTTATGGGCATGGAACGGTTTATACGGAACAGGAGCTGTTGGAAGTGGGACTTGGACTGATGGATCACCGGTCAACTATAGTGGTCATTCGCCATATAGTGGCGGTTCAACGAATTGGGTGGTGGGTGGATTTGTCGATTTTGCAAGGATCTAAAGCCTTTAGATGGGCAATGATCGCCGTTGCGCTAAAATGGGATGGCTGAATAGATCGAGCAGTTCGCCAACTGCTCGTTTCATCTGCAAGAGCCCATCGCAGAGAAGTCTCAGAATGATGTTTAAGCAGCACATTTGACTTTTGCTCTTTTATAAATAAAAATTTATGTACAACAAGTTTTGTTATCCCAGATGGTGATTCCAGATTTTCCTTTTCCCTTCGGCATTAGATAAAAATTGAGGAATTGACATAAACAGGTCAACTCAATCATTTGTCCACAAAGATCTATGAAAACATTCGGGAAAACACCTGGCTTTTGTTTAAATCACCACCAAATGATTTCCATTGCCAAATCTGACTGTATTCAACTACAAAAATAAGTCTTTCTCTAGCTTATCGATCTTCTAGACTGCGAACTCTTCTAAACTTCTGATCGATCTTCTAAACTTTTGAAATCAATTTGAATCAAAGAAGCCATGAAATTGATGAAAACCAACAAATCAATTTGGAAATTCTTTTTAAAAAATGGCCTCTTTTCGGGAAAAATGGACACAATTTGGATACAAAAGTAGCCAAGAATAAAGTGCAAAACCCTTGTCTAGTGATCACGGGAAAGAACCAGAAATTGTATTCCACTACATTTTATGCTTAAGATTATTAGACCTTTATCTCAACCAATTATAACTAACCCCTTAACCAGACAGCAGCTTTTCAGACCTAGTAGCTCTCTTATAAACTTCCCTAACAAAACTTAAGGATTTCTTCTGACGATTATAAAGACTCCGAAAGGAAAAACTAGATCTTACTTTTTGATTAGTTAATCAGGGTGCTTCAGCTTTGTTATGTGTATTAACTTATTATAAGTCTAAGCTAGTATCAATAGATAAAAATAACAAACCATTTATCCCAAATTTGAGGTGAGCTCAACTTTTTCATAAACTCGAAATGCATAGGCCTGTCGTTTTCCCTTCTTCCAAAGATCCGCAGGATCGAGTTCAGCCTTCGTTAGTGGAGTTTTTCCGTCAGAAGTGAAGCGAAGACCATGACGGATTTGGGATATCCAGCACGTCGAAACACTTGGTTTGGTTGGCTTTTTGCATAAATCCTGTTGTTCTGAGCGTTCAACCTCTGCTCAATGGTGAACACTTTCTCGTCAGTAAAAAGGATGTTTCGGTGATCGATGCCATTGAATCGTAGCATTAGGTCTTTTGATCGGTCTTCGCACTTATTTTTGGCATCAATTGTGAGAAATTGAGCTTTCGCAAACTTGTAGGCTTTCATGTTCAAATGTTTTTCCCAGTTCGACTCATTGGTCCTTTGGAAATCTTCAATTTCTTAGGCCATTTGTCGTTGAGAATGCATCGGAATGTATCGAAGCTTTTCGTGAATCTTCTTGATATTCTTCTTTGTTGTCACGGTAGCTTTTCGGCAGATAGATCAGAAGTTGTTTCAATATCATTATAGCAAAGATAGTCAACCCAAAAGCGCATAACAGTAAAGCACGGCAAACTTTGGTTCGGGTAATTTTGGGGCACCCTGTACAATCAATTGCAAAACATGGATAGAAACTCGTTTGAAAATTAGTGAAGGTAATGAAGTGAAATACTGTATCCCAAAATTTTAATCTAAGGTTATTTTGGTCTCATAAGTTCTCCG